TTTAAACACAAATCCACTAGATGGTTTATTAAGTTTGTGGTTGTTTTTAAAACCTGATTTCTTAAGAAATGGGAAGTCCAAAACATTTTCCTTACAAACACAATGAAATAGGTCTCTGGCTGGTGGAGTGAGAAAGAGCTCTTCTCTATGAGGAGGTTGTTGTCTGCTGTTTCATAGACAGCAGTGGATCTACAAAATACACTCTGCCATGGCATGTGCATAGGGATCAGTGTCATTAGCTGCAGCACCAGCAGGGCTTTCCCCTTGTCTTATTCTTTCATAACTAAGGATGTGTTGTGCTGTATTGGATTGGTTTTTGTTAATAAGACTGGGTTACCTTAGAACAAAGAATCAAGTTTTGATGGTGCAGTTGCTCTTCTCTTTCCACACAAAGATGAAATGTGCTTTCACTGTTGGATTTTGGCTAGTTTTAGTACCTGGGATGAATCCTTTACTGAACTGGTTAAGGAAGAATGCAGTGACAATGATGTGTATGAGAAGGATGATGAAGGTGTGTCATAAGAAGAAAGCAACCAGAAGAAAGCTCTTTTAATTTTTTTTTTAAATCAAGCCCAGAGCAGAAAGGCATTAAAGAAATGTGAACAGCATAAAAGAGAGAAAATGAAAAGTTTTATCTAGTTCCCTCTCTACAACAAAAATGCATTCTTTGTTCCAATCACAATCTTCAGGAAAAGCCAATTTGGAGAATTACAAGACTGTGACCCGGTGTGATGCTTGTGATGCTGTGATTGTGCTGTTTTTCTAACTCTCATACAGTGCTTTCTGTTAATTTGTTGTGGTTTGCCTTACCACAGGTAAGTCAATAAACAGTAATGAAGGTGGGTATAAACCTGGAACACATTGCTAACAGTCTGGACTTTAATTAGTGTCACTTTCTTTTTCACCCTTACTTGAGAGGGGAATACCGGTTCCTTGGCAGTTCTAACTTGCTGAGCCATTAGTGGCTCTGTAGCAATGAGTATTGCTATAAAGTAGCTGAATGAGTAGGATTGTCCTGAGCTCAGGTCTATTTCCTCATTTTTTTTTCTTCTATGATGTGGACAAGATCCCCAGCTGAAGATACATATATGTGATAAATGTTCCTCATGATGGCCATAAAGGGATGGAAATTCATCAAAATGGTGCTATTCCTGCTGATTATATCTGGTTTCTGCCAGTGTTGCATGGCAAAAAGCAAAGCATTGCTTTATTGTTTTATTTTGTGATTTTTGGTAGTTGAAACAATAGCATGTTAAGAAGTACAGCATTCATTGAATGTATGAGTAATGGGCATATCACTGACTGATGAAATATGGGAAGTAATGTAAAATACATTAACCTAAATATAACATGTTTTATACAGATAAAAAAGAGCATTTATTATTAGTTAACTTTGCCTTTTTTTCCTGGCCTCTCACCAGTGGTTGATTCTTAACAGAAATCACAGAATCATTTAGGTTGGAAAAGATCTCTAAAATCATGGAATCCAACCTTTGACCCATGGCCACCTGTCACTAGACCATGGCACTGAGTGCCACATCCAGTTGGGTGCGTTTCCATTTTGCAATCTTCAGTGTTGGGGAAGTGTTTCCCAAAAGTTCCGGTAACTCTTGAGAAATGTAAAATACATTGTATGTTGCAGGATTAATGCTCTTGTCAAACTGCTGACTTCATGGGGAGCTGGAAGTTTGGACTCCATGGCATGGTATGGCTGCTGGAGAGGGGAAGCAGGAGTTTCTCTCTTTCCTCCACCCTCCCAGGTATGTGCCTTGTTTCTGCAAAAGCAGCTGCTGCTCTTGCAGGTGTGTAGCTCTCAGTTGATGAAACACTTTCTGAACTACCACCTATTCATCCTGCATTAGTCAGGGCTCTGACTGTGATGTGAATTTGGTTTTAGTATAAAGCAAGGCTCTGGGCTGAAAGCTGGCAGTGCCCAAGCTGTGTCAGACTTTTTGTGGGCATAAGTGCTTGCTGGCTGCAGCTGTAGCATGTGTTTCTGTGTGTTTGCATCAGCAAGAAAGCTAAAAAATGTTCTATAAATATCTGAAAAACACTTTTTCCTGCAACAGTTGATTTCTTTCAATATTTTCTTAACCTCACTTTTGGTCTAGATTCTGACACCACTTTCATCTTTTATCATCTTGGCACTGAACTATATTTCTTCACTAAAGCTAAGAAAAGAATTTAAGCTAGTTTACTATCAAAAATAACATCAGGTAAACTTTTCCCAAAGTAAATTTGTCCTGGTTCTGCTGCTTAAGGACAGAGGTCTGGAGCTGACATAGATGCTGCTAATTATTGCAGACGTGTGTACAGCTAACATTAAGCTCTGGGAGACTGCTACTGCAGGAGAAGGAGTTGGAGGCCAGTGGGGCTGGTTATGGCATAGAAAATGGGACTAGATACCGTTCTGTATGCAGCTTAATCTAGAGTTTATGTTGGATTAACAGACTTTCCTGTGGGTTGCTACTGTTAATCATTCTCCAAAGTGGCAAAACATTATCTAAAGAAAGAATGGTTTTTGTATTTTAACTTTTCTACTGCGCACATTGCTCAGTACTTCTGGTTGTAACATCACTACGTTTTCAGCTCTTTAAATGCTTGTGGATTTTGGTTTGTTGGTTGGTGGTTGGTTTTGGGTTTTTTTTTTAATGTCCTAAACGTGGGATTTTTGAGCCCAGTCAGGGCTGTCTGGTTGTTGTTAGTGGTAAACTTTAGACTGCTGTAATAAACTGCTGACTGCTGCTGTGGGTGTGTTACACTGGCACAGCTGGTTTTGATAGCTGTTGTTTCCAGGTTGTGACTGTAGTTTCAGCTAGTGCTTGTTTTTAGCAAGTGAATTTAAGAGCTGAAAGCGTCCTTTATGCTCCTGTAGTAGTGTCTTTCTGTGCTGTGTGACAGAAAAGTCCTGGCGTGTATCTACTTGTGTAGTAGCAATCTTTGTATTCAGGGGATTGCTAACAACAAATGTAATCAACACCTCTTGAGTGTTTTTCACAAGTTGACAGCTGTTCTGTTTTGCCTATATATAGTTACATGTGTATATACTGTATGTTCTCCCACATATACATCTGTAGCGAAGCCTGGGTCTTTGTTACTGAATCTTTACCACGGGTTAAATGTAAGAATGGCTGAAGAACAGTTTGTTGCTGCAGCTCCAGCACTTACAGTTTCTTATAACTTGTAGCAGGTAGGCTTGAATGGGTGCTTTATAGCACCATGTGGGCGTTACTGAAAACAGGAGTGTGATTTGCTGGGTGCTGAAATGCAGCTTGTAAAGACTCTAGTTCATACCTTCAAGGGAATATGTCTGCAAGAAGCATTTGGGGGAAGAGTGTAGGTCTTGGTAGTGAACTTAAAGATTTCAAATACCTTATACTAGCCAGTAATGGGATGGTTGTAACTCCCTCTGATCAGGGGTTCAGTAGGTGCAAGTCAGTTCAGTACTGTGCTGCCAATTCATGTTTATCACAAACAAGTCCTTAAAACTGATGTTCACAGTGATCTAAACAAGATGTTGTTCTCCAGTGCAACACTGCTGTTTCTTGCCAGCTTTAAGCTGCTTAGAACTGGGTTACTTAAGCTGGTGGAAGTCTGTAGTATTGCTGTGACTTTTACTGATGAATCTGTTCTCTTGATAAACCAGGGGTTCAGTTTTGGTGCAGGCAAGCATTTCTACCTGCCTTAGGTAAAATTGTAGCAAAATCTCTGGCAATGTCAACAGTATCTGGTTTGTTTCTTTTATCATGACTGGAACATGTGGCTTTTGGGCCATGAACATGGGGTACTGTCTGCTCTTGAGTTCTATGTCTGTTCTCAGTTGTACAAATTACTCTCTTGCTGAAAAAAACCCCATTTATTTCTGTATTGTCACTGTTCAGAAGCAAACTGGTTAATACAAAATAGCATCTCTATCCTGTGGCCCTAAAACTCAATGACTGCTCCAAAGAATATGTGACGACTGTAGGTATAAAATGCTATCCCTGAAATTGGTGTAATTATTTCTGACTGGATTTGTTAGAGGAAAAATACTATGCTGGATCCAACACCTTAAAGCTGTTGCAGCTTCATGCTCCAAATATGACCAGTAATAAGACTGAAAATATATTGCTGGTAGCTACAAGCCCATAGAGCACATGCACACATGACATTTACATATAAACATGATTGGCCACAGCAATCAGGCAGACATAGACATACAGGAGCACATACAGACACAACCATATCCTGCTCCCTTCCCTGTCTGAGCAGGAGGAGGTCATACACATACATGCATATAGATATATATGTGTGTGTTTGTGTGTGTATATATATATTTATATGTATGGTAGGGACCCTTCAGCAGCAGAGTTTAGACGCTGTTGGTTCCTGAATCCCAGTCTCCCTGGTTGCTGGCTTGTGGACACAGCAGTTCTGGGCCACAGTGCTGTTCCTGGTGCTGGCTGTCTCTCAGGTGCCTGAGACTGCCCTGCTTACGTGGTGCCAGCACCCTGCACGTTAGAGACAGAGGTGTGCATCCATGTACAGAGCTGGTGGCATTCCTCTGGGCCTCCATGCACACCCACCTGTATTAATGTTTTGATGCACGTTTGTCAAGTCTCTTAAAAATCTATTTTCTTTAGTTCTGTGCTTCTGAGATAATTTTCTATAGCATAAACTTATGCTGCCAAGAAATTTCCAAAGGGTGCTGACCTTTTGTAATGTTGCTGCTCTTCTGCCCATTTTCAAATAAGACAAGATTGAGGGTGACAGAATGAGGAGCAGTCCTGACAAAATTATAGTTTGTGGTAGGTGCAAATTTGGGAGTATGGGTGAGCCTGGACCGTGGTGTCACCCTGATGTCTTTGCCTTCTAGCACCATGTATAAGTCTCTGCGTTTCATAGTAGACACAGTGTTGTAAAATAAATAATCTTAATGGAAAAAGGGATGGGATGGAAGGCTTCACGGAGGTGTTTTTGCCCGCAGCCATGATGCATTTTGGTGTGAATTCCCTTAACATTCAGAATTGTGTTTTAGTGGGCTTATTGTCAGAAGTGCCTGGTTTATAACATGTAATTAATTCCCTTGGTGTCTGTGAAGGCCTGCCAGGCTGGGCATGGGGCGGCAGCTGCGCGGCCCAGGAGCTCTGTCGAGGCCGTGCCTGGGCTGGGCTGAGCCCGGGCTCTCCGTTTGTCAGCGCCTCGGTAACACCGCCCAGGGCCCGGCTCGGGGCGCGGTGTGACGGGTCTGTGTCTGCCCTCCCACAGGCACCGCAGCTGCCGTGGTCACAGTCTGAGCCGCGCTTTGGCCGGTCAGCGAGAACTTGCTCAGACGATGGAAATAGCGCTGACTGCGTTGCTTCCTCAGCTGAGGGTTTCCGCGGGAGGTGGCCGGTTCCTGCCGGCGGCAGCGCTGCCAAGTGTGGAGAGGCGCGGTGCGCGTTGACGGCGCAGGGAGCGGTGCTCCTTTCCCGGAGGAGGTGGCCGCTGCCCTGGGCACGGGGATGGCGGGGCGGCGCCGCCCCGCTCGACCCGCCGGGGGGCGCCGTGCGCCGCGGGCCTCGCGCGCACTCCCTGCGCGGAGGGAGGCGGAGCCGCGCGACCGGGGCTTTCGACGGCCGCCGGTGCGCGAGCGATGCGCGAGCGCGCCCGTTCGAGAAGCTTCCCCGCGCGCGCGGTGCTGCGCGGGCCGGGCCGGGCCGGTCACCGGGCCCTGCGCTCGGCGCGGGCACGTGACGGGCAGGCGGGAGGGAGGGGGATGCCGGCCTGCTGTGCGCATGCGCGCGCTGCGGCGCCATGACGTCAGCACGGTGCGCACGCACGTTGTCCCCAGCTGGCGGACACACGGTCCGCGTGAGAAAGGAAGCGGGAGGCCGCGCGCGCTTCGCGCACGGTAACGACCGGGGAGCGGGGCCGCGCCGGGAGCAGCGGCCGCGTCGCGCGCGAACCCCGCGCGCCTCTGCGCGCGCCCTCCGCCCGCCGCCCGAACTGCGAAAATTGACACCAGGCGCGGGCACGAGGCGGCCGGGCCCGGGCCCGTCGGCCGCGCCCCGGCGGCCACGCGAGGCGCCGCTGCGCGCGGACTGCCTCGGGAGCGCCGGTGGCGCGCGCCCCGCCGGGCAGAGCCGCGCCGGGTCCCGGCAAAGAGCGGCGCGGTTTTCCCACGTGCGCTCGGTCCGCTGCCCTCAGCCAGCTGGCGCGGGCGCTCGTTCTGGCCCCCGCTGCTCCTGGGCGGCTGCCGCTCCCCGTCCCGAGGCTTCTGGCTGGGGTCCGTTCGGCGCGGCCGGGGAGGGCAGCGGGGTCGGGCGGGGGAGGAGGGCGTTCAAAGCGACAGGTGCTGCGCTCGGCCCGCAGCCGTGACGCCACCTGCCCGGGGCGGGGCCCCCGTCTCTCGCCGCCGTTCCCGGGGCGGCCCCTCCTGGTGCCCGCTCGGTCGGTCGGTGTTAAACGGCGGCGCGGCGCGTGGGGTGTCTGCTGCCATTGGGCGCGCGCCGTGGGGTGTCGGCGGCAGCGCGCGGCGGGTGGGGGCGGGCGGGGCAGCCCCGGGGCTCGCGCGCCGCCGGTGCTCCCCTTCCCACGGCGTTTCCCGGGCCCGCCCGCCCCGCAGCGCCGTGCGCGGAGCCGCGTCCCGGTCGGCGCGTGGGGAATTGGGTTTGTTTGTTTACATGAGAAGGACGCTTTGCATCTGATTGTCATCCTGCTTTTGGCGGGTCTTAGTGCGACTTGTGAGTGGTTTTGGCCGCTGCGCCCTGCGTGGACGCTGCTTCTCAATTACAAGGTCTCTGTGTAGAGAGGGGAAATCTCTGACGCTATTCAGAACGTCAGCTTCCACAAATACACGTGTTTCCCCTGAAATATTGCATTAGAGTCTATGTGCTATAATAAAACAGGTTCCTGTGTGTCACCAAATGCAATAAAATATATTAAATTGTTTTCTGGTAAGAGACTGTGCTAGCATTGAAATAACGTAGATTTTGATTACTCTAATTGCCCATAATCTCATTTTAACCACGCACGTTTTAGACTGACTGTGCGTGGTGCTTGTGGTAGAAATAGCTACTGCTGTACAACATAAGAACTTTGAGCGTTGGAGAACAGAAACTATTACTCTGTAGGTCTTTATATGCATAGAATTTCTGCTGAATGCATGGTTGTTGAGCTTTTTTTTTTTTGTAATTTTTTTTCTGGTATGTCTTTAGTAAGATAATATAGTCTAATAAATTTAAAGGATTCAAGTAAATGTAAAGCTACAGACATCCTGCATACGTTAAACCAGATCTGAAACCACTTTGATGGTGTGTTTCCTTTGTGAGCAAATACAGTTTTGGTGTATACCGCACAGCATTAGTGTGATCTCACTTTCCAACTGTATGTTTACTGTACATATCCAACTGTGTTATATGTGTATGTGCAAAGTAAGTTGGTGGAAAATCATGTAGAACTTATGTGGTTCCTTTTTCACCACTCTGTGTATCTGAGATTTATTTCTATTCTGTTCTTATAGGTGAATATGAAAGCGCTTGTGTCTTGGGGATAACCTTTTTCATTGTTGGGACTTGAGGTGTAATCTACTGAAAGAGCAGAGCAATATACTTGAATTCATTTTGTATCCTGGACTCTGTTAAGGAGTCCTCAGTGGGTAGGGGGTTATGGGTATGCTTGTGGGGAAGGATTTCCTCTGCAAAGTTAAACTGAAAACCAGACCTTGTAAATTCACAGGTATCAAAATCTGTGCAGAACAGTTTTGGTTTATTTCCTCCAATTTAAGTTTTACATTAGGTTTTAAAGTGTGATGTGTAAGGGGTAAAAATGGATCTCTCATATTTCCTACCTGTTAAGAACATTTATCATATGAATGATAAATGGGGTATAAATTGTCTCTTGAGCTTTGAGGTCATTTGCCACATGCATGTGACAGCTTGTTAGCACAGAGGGGTTTTTCTTCCGTCAGTACCCCAGTCCTAACAAAATAAAGATGTCTTATTAAATATCCAGTTCACTTAAAACTTAGGAATTAAGAGTTAATTCTCTTGAAAGAGATATGGTTGTTTTCTAAGCCATAGGATTATAGAACAGTTTTGGTTGGAAGGGACCTTAAGGGACACCTAGATCCAGCCTTCCTGTCATGGACAGGGACACCTTCTGTTAGACCAGGTTGCTAAAAGCCCCATCTCCATCCTGTTGTTGAACTCTTGCAGTGTTGAGGCATCCAAAGTTTCTCTGGATAACCTGTTGCAGTGCCTAACCACCCTTGTAGTAAAGAATTTATTTCTAATATCCAATCTAAATTTCTGTCTTTCATTCTGACGCCATTTCCCCATTTTCTGTCACTGCCTTTGTGAAGGTCACTCTCCAGATTTGTTGTAGGTCGCCTTTAGGTACTGAAAGGCTGCAATTATTATGTCTCCCCAGAGCCTCTTCCAGGCTGAACAACCCCAACTCCCTCAGCTTCTTCACAGGAGAGGTGTTCTGTCCTTCTCAACATCTTTGTGCCCCTTCTCTAGATTTGCTCCAAAAGGTCTGTGTCCTTCCTGTGCTGGGGACCCCAGAGCTGGATACAGCCCTCCAGGTGGGGTCTCAGCAGAGCAGAGCAGCGGGGCGGAATCCCCTCCCTGGCCCTGCTGCCGTGCTGCTTTGGATACAACTATGCAAGTGGTCCTTCTCAGCAGGACTAGTCCATTTCTCCATCCCCCAGCCTGTGATTGATACTGGGGGTTGCCCCATGTCAGGTGTATCACCTTGCACTTGGACTTGTCGAATCTCTTATCAAGCTTGTCCAGGTCCATTTCGACATTCAGGCATGTTAGCTTCACTTACCTTGCCAGTCTGGACCCATGAGGGACACCACTTGTTGTGAATGTCCCCTGGGACTCAGAGCTGTTGATCATTACCCTCTGGATGGGACCATTGTACCAGTTTGTTATCCAGGGAATACACCACCCATCAGATCCATTTCTCTCCAGTTTAGAGAGGGGGACGTTTTCAAAGGCTTTATGGAAGTCCAGATAGACAACATCAGTAACTCTTCCACTGTCCACCAGCACAGTCACTGTTGTAGAAGGCCACTGGGTTGGTCAAGCAGGACTTGTTCTTGGTGAAACTGTGCTGGCAAGTCACCTTTGTCCTCCATGGACCTTAACATCACTTCTAGGAGGATCTGTTCCATGATCTTCCCAGCCACAGACGTGAGGTCGACAGGTCAGTAGTTCCCAGAGTACTTCTGTCTACCCCTTTTTAAAAAATGGGTGCAGTATTTTCCTTTTCCAGTCACCTGGCTGCCACGACTTCTTGACTATTAAGGAAGGTGGCTTGGCACATCAGCCAGTTCCCTCAGGACTCTGGGATGCATCTCAGCTTCTAGCAGTGGTGATTAACTCTGGTCTCCAGCTCCCACCAACTACATATTTGATAAAAGAATCAATCGTTTTTTGTCAGTGTTGTGTTCCTCATACAATAAGGATCAAAATACAAACATTTTGTGTTACCAGAAGTGCATATTTTAAATTTTCACATAGAAAAATATACAGGCTGTTTGTAAAATGAAGTAGTTTATGATATTTTGTTACAGTGTTGACATAATTCTTAACCTGGGAGGTATACACACAGAAGTGGAGTTGTGTATATACAGATAAAAGTAACTTCTTTAGTTCCCTAAACAGTGATTATGCTAATCATTACAGTACAAATGTTTTCTTGTTTGATTTAAATTATTTCCATAATTGAGAAGATAAAGGAAGCTAAGGCTGCCCACTGCTTCACATTCATCCATTTAATCTTAGCTGCATGGTCTTTTGGGGGTTAGTTTGTGGTTTTTTCCAGAGTTTATCCATTTGAAGTATTTTGTCCCTTCTTTCTCTCTCTGCCCTTGACAGACAGTTAGAAATTACTGGAGAGTGTAAGCAAAGAAGTTCCAAACACACAAACTTCAACAATTTCAATAAAGAAATTAAGAGAAAATGTTTTTAACATTTCTTTTTTCTTTCCTCCTTTACATTTTTGACAAGTTGTAGACCTCAGGGAACTCTTTCTTTCTTTCTGACAAGACCTTTATCTTTGTGACAGAAATGTGCCATTTGCTCTTCTGAAAACTTTTGCATGTTCTGCCGAATGTTGTGAAGTGAATGATCTGCAGACTAGAGGGAGTGTCTGAACAAAGTGCTTAGAAATACCAAGCAAAGCAGGGAGTTCTGTTGGGGCAAACCCTGTAGGAAAAAACAATTTAAAGGTGTCATAGCCCCCATGTCTATCAGGTGAGAATTGTATACACACATACAACCTTGATGTCTTGCACCCTGATTGTGCTCTGTTTTATAGTACTGCTTATCTTTTAAGTTTATAATGTGGAGAGCTATTGCAAAAAGGATGTCTCATGCTACTTAATTACTTTCTTAGACTGTATTGGAATAATTTTAACGGTGTTTTCTGTTTCTTCCAGAATGGTGATCACACGTAGAAGATTATCAGAACTCTGTAGAATTTGTATTTGGTTTGAGAGCTTGTGAAAGTGCTCATCATGGAGAAACAGCAGATTGTCTTGGCTAGCCAGGACGGTGGGACTGTGTCTGGTGCAGCGCCTGCTTTCTTTGTCATCTTGAAACAACAGCAGGGAAATGGAAAAGCTGACCAAGGAATCCTAGTAGCAAACAGTGATGCTTGTGCTCTCGCCAGCAGTGTATCCATTCCAGTCAAACCCAGAGTCAAGACTTGCCTCCCAGCTGACTGTGTGTCAGGGGGCATCACTGTCACCCTGGATAACAACAGCATGTGGAACGAGTTCTACCATCGCAACACAGAGATG